GAATGTGTGTGATAGACAATGGAAGATGAATCAAAGTTTAAACAAAAACATGAGTGATACGACAAACAAACACCAGAATTCTCCAAGTTCTTAAAAACCCATTGAAAGACTGGCCTGAAATCAAAACCTGATTAATGTCATCTGAGCCATCACACGGCAAGAAAAAGCTGTCTTTAATCTGCAGCAACTCTCAGGAAATTCCAGTGAATTTATTGCCCTTTCAATCCCCCACATGTTACACGTACACACACGAAGCCCATAAGCCAATTAAAGAGAGCCAGTGTGTGGTGTGGCTGAATGAGATGGCAGGTCCAGTGTTTATATCTCATTAAGCTGTGCAAGGCCATGCCAGGCCATGCTGTACCWTACCTTGCTGCACCGACCCATCTCCGAGCAGCACCAAGCCCCCTCATTAGCRTCCTTTCTGCAACTTTCAGCCGCATGCTTGTGTTGAAATATGAACATGTTARGATGCTTTTAAAAGGAAAGCTTTACGATTTTTAATTGCAAATGATTATTTATATTAAAAGACCTCATAAAGCTGCAAACTGAAGTTTGTGTGAGRGTGGTGCAGTGTTTCTTACGACACTTCTACACCAGTGTGGTCTCTGTCAACCGCTCTCTCTGCAGACATGTTTGGCTCCTCTGTTTGTTCCATCTATCCATCCATTTATCTGTTTATTTYTCCTWCTTGTTTGCCACCATCCCCTCATTTTGGGAAATGAGGAGAGTCTCATTCTGCCCCCCACCCCACTCTTCTCATCATCCATCTTTCAATTTTGTTCTTCTATAGCCAGATCAAAACTTTTCCTCCTTTTTGTTTTCTCTCTTCTCACCCTCCTCCTTTCCCACAGCACAATTTTCTTCAAATCTCTCTGGTTGCTTCTGTCGTCTGCCTTCTTGCTGCATGTGTATGTGAGCATGTGCGAACGCACAAACACACACATTAGTGTTGGTCTCTGCTGCCTGACTGCAATTCATCATCATTTTATCTCCCTTAATTGGATGCCATCAGGACCCCTGAAACTTCACATCTCCTCTTTAACAAACAGCTGCTCTCTGCACACACAGAGGAATACACACAGAAACACACCCAATACCCAAACTAGATTTTCTCTCACTGCCCCCATGTATGCCTTTTTTCTCCACCAGTGAAGGGTTGGGGAGGAAAAAAAAGGGTGATGGAGTAGCTGACTGGTTTATCAGACAGAAGGTAATGGTGTTTGGCTCGTGCTGATATTATCTGTCCTCTCATTCCTGCCCTCCAGGGAGAAACAAGAAAGAAGGTTAAAGAGGGAGAGAGGGTAGGAAAGTGAAGACTTACAAATGAACAAAAAGCTAACGACACTGAGAAACAAAAAGGAAAAGCCTGCAACAGTTKGGGTTGCTTCTTTCGGCCTCAGTGTTGAAACCATCTCCAGCTGTTTTCTGTCAGCCCCGGTGACCCAAGAATGTGGTCATTTATGCACAAAAGCACGGTGTGTGGACAAGTGTTTGTTTGGCTCCCGTGACCCTTTTGGCAGTCTGAGAAGAACTTGCCAGCCCACTGCTCAGCATCCTATTGGCCCTTTCACCTCAACTGTGGTCTCTGAAGGGACAACACACACCACGAAGCTGCCTGGCACGGCTCTAGTGTAGATACCAGCTTGTTGTTTTGGTAGCTGTGCACCAGAGTTTACTTCTGCCATAAGGCCTGACTGAAAGCAATGTCGGTGGGATTTTTTGACACAAATATTTATAAAAGGGAACACTTCTTTCTCCTACTTACAAACAGATCAGTGCTGTCCTACTGTACTTATGGACRTAAGGTTTCATTCAATTTAACAACCTTCAAAAAAAATCTTGGAATTATGTTTAGCTAGGAGTCCAACTTTACAAGTGCAAACTGTGTCATGAATTATTTATTTCACAYTACAAACTTAAATAAAATTTAACACAGCAAAATTTAGAGCTCTGAGCTGTTTCTTAAAATCATTTTCCAAAAGTATGAATCTTCAAAGTGTTAACATAAAGTGGCCTACTTGTTTCATGTCTCAGCTGGCAAAAGCAAACTCTTTTTCAATCTTGTTTTATTTTTTTCTATGATCCACCTGCTCTTTTCCCTTTGGGATCAGTTGGTATGAACAGACACTTGATATTAAAAGAAACAAGTTCTCCCATGAGCACATAAGGATAGTCAATACCAGACAAAAGCAATGTGGAACTTAGGTTACGATATCATATATCATGTGAGCCACATATACAGTGGCTTATTGACAGCCTCCAGTCAGAGGATACTATATAAGCATATTAGGTTATCACAGTCAAAGTATGGGAAACTAGGGTTTAAACATGATCTGAGTGTGGACGTTGTAAATATCCCCTGGACAAGTTATAGTCTTCAGGATGGTGTGATGTTATTGTACAAAAGAAAAGAGTTGTGGCTTCAGGAGATACTTTTAAGCTCTCATCTTCACCCCCTTCCTTCTGTTCTTTTTAAAACTTCTTCCTCTCATTATTTCCCATTCATGCAACCTGAAAATTTTCTAGTGTGCACCAATTTCCCTAGTCCATCTTACTCCCTCTCATCTTCTATTTTTTGCCACTTCCATAGGCTTTATGACTACCAATTCCTCAAATTCTTAGCATTTATTCTTTATTGTTTTTTCCCATTCACCTTGATTTTGTCGTCTCTTAATCCCCACTGCTTTTCTACTTTTTATTTTACTTTAAAGCCTAGCTCAACAGCATCAACAATAAAATGTGTTGAAATAAATATGTCAGATTGACACARGTTTGGTAGAAACTTCTGAGTCTTRCAAAAGCAAGGATAAACCATAGATTAGCAACCTATTTCCCCACCATAAAGTAATATTTTTGCATTGGTCCAAGCCACAGACGTATCATGGGATCCACAGCCTAAGGTATGTTGGGGGATGCACATGCCAACATGCCTACAGACACTGATTAACCCCTTTCCTCATAGCCGTGTGTACAYATCAATGCAGTAGTGTGTATACAGGATAGAAGATGGAGTCTATTTCTGCTGTAATCACACATGATTCARAGAGTTGGATCTGAACACTGTTAAAGTATAAACAATTACAGAGCAACTGGTGTGAAAAGAAAGAGAAATATCGCTCTGGTCTATAAATGGATAAACTAATATTTAACGCCCTTTCCTCTAAAATTTGACTCCTGTGCTAAAATAAGAATCTCATCTTGATAATTTATGATGCATAAAAAATAGATAACCTCAAACCTGCATAAATTATGCCACAATGGCATCTTCATGCAGCTGCAACCCTTTACTTCTCTTGAATTTCAATATAAGAGTATAAACACTGTTTGTGCTACATCAGTATCTGATGCTGCAGTCAAGTTGCCTCTGCACATGCTAACAAGGACTAAGCGTTGACATCCCTGGGGTAATTATTGCTAGCATGTCTGCTGTGTGGACATCAAATGGAGATATTCAGCTTTTGGCTGGTGCYAGACTTTGCTGCTGATTAACTCTGGCCTTGCAGCTACAATAAACAGTCAATAAACAGACATCTTGCTGGAGACACAAACCTATTGCCTGATGATTACCACTGCCTACTGTGTATCAACACCTGTAGACTCCCTGTCAARGTAGACAGAATATTGACAGGTGCTACATATCACGACCCACAGAAAAACAAAGACTACTGCTTGGCTTGTTTGAACATAAGTATCCAAACCCAGAAATATTATGACTTTTAGGATTAAGTTGAAGCAAATCAACAAACSTCTACTAACCAAATATTACTTTAAGCGCCAGCTGTTTTCAAATCTTATGTCTAAAAAACAAACAGATTAGAGGAAGCACATAGCAGATCTGAACTTACAAGAAGCCTGAAAGACGATGTGACAAAAGTAAAAAACACCAGTGACTGAAAAGTATGGTAGACGAAGGGAGGAAGTCATAAAAAGATGAACTGACTCTACAGGCAGATGGAGTAAAAAAGATGGAGAGGAATAGAGCTGAGGTGTAAACATGATCAATCCGCTCCCAACTAGGTTCAGAGAGAGACTTCCTCTTCACATTTTCAGCCTCAGTGAAGCGCAACGCAAGCTACCTCTTATCTGTCATGCTAGTTTGAAAACACACGTACACACACACACACACACACACACACACACACACACATAGACATATTCTCAGGCCAAACAGACATGAACCTCAATACACAAGTACCTCCGTGTACTTGCAAACCCTCTACAGACACACAAACACACTGACAAACAGGACAGAAGTTCTGATTAAAACTTCTTAGGCAAAAATCAAATCTTGAGAACACTTTAATCCAGCTTACACTTATCCCTGCAAGTCAAAGCCACAAGTGCATTAGATATTACTATGTCTGATCCTCTCAAAATCAGGCCTAATCAATAATTTAAATCGTGTTCTACAAAATACTTGACCACTGCTTTTGGTTCAGATTACTACACAGACTAAAAAAGCTCAAATATATTTGTATACATCTTCYTTCAGATATTAATACTCACCAACAACATTTATTTGCCAACTAATGATTCACTGCAACATATCAGCACTGGGTCATTTATCTAGACTGTCAGCAGGCCAGTGTGCAAGAAGTGTTTAGTGATCCATCATGAAGGGGAGCATATTTATGTCCAGAATGATCATTAGCTGTAGGAGGCTATTATTTAACCCTGACCAAGTCAATGCCTTCACTGGAATTATGATTTAGTTACTTGGRTGTATCGATTAGGTCTAAAGGAACAATACAGGTGTGATTCTATATAAAATGCACAAGAATGTTTAACACTCTAGTGATTTACAGACAGGATAGGTTGAAGTTTGTAAATGCACAAGACAAAATGCATTCTTTTTTTTCTCCCCCCAAATGCAAARTGTTAGAATCCTTTTTCTAATACTGACTTAAAAACACATCACTACTACCACATGCTGTCTTCTCCAACAACATCAGTGCTTAAATGGCATCACATCATYGTTTCCCCTCTCTCTCACTCACCGATGTTTTCTGGCACTGGATGGACGAGCTGTTGAAGCGCAGTGCAGGAACGCTGTGGGCCTCCCCGTGGATGTGGAAGACACACTCGTAGTTCCTCTGACCAGACTGGGGCTGTGGTAGYTTTCTGGCAGCTAAGGTGATGGGCTTGGTCACGCCGACTGGGATGTAAATCTGGGTTGAAGGCAGAATCTGGGGGCAATCCTGAGATTTTAGGAAAAGAAAAACAAACATTCAACTTTTATCCCTAAAAGGAGGTTGTAATAGTTGCTCAACAGAACATGAAAAGCAAGTAAARGAGGAAAAACACTGTAGTAGGAGACTAGGAAGTATGATGAAATAAATGTTGCTGAGAAATGTGAGGGCTTTAGACTGCATATTATAATTGACTTTAAAGCAGCGCTCTCCAGTCTAAACAGCTCCACTGTGATGCATTTTCTACTTTGGTTACAAGCTTTTGCAACACTCCCACTAGACTTACACCACTTTGAAAGTATGCACATTTAAARGAGAAAGCTTTATTTTTACGTGGTTTATAGGAATATGATTATAAACTACTTAGATTACTACAATGCTACAGTGTGGATGCAGAAAGAAAAAACTCTAATCATGCATGGAATCAAATAATGAGTTTGTTGCATGTTTATGTGTGAATACGCGTGCAAATTTGTGATACTGGCCAGAACTGACAGTCTTGTTTAGATCATCTGGAAACAACTCATCCACTGATGGACACAACCCTAGAGGGTGTGTGTCCTTGCACAGATGTGTTTATGGCAAATGGCGTTCTAAATGTGCTGCTAGATTAAMTAAATATGTTTGTATCTGGTTAGTGGGCATGAACAAGATATGGCAGTCTGTTCAGTTCATAAACTTTCCAAGATGTGCATTTGTGCATGTGCTGGAAGAAATGAAGTCATTACGGTGTTCGTGTCGTAATTTGGCAGTGAGAAGCAAACCTTGTCAACAGAGACTGGGAGAAGAAACAAAAGAGGGGTGTGGGTGACATATCTTCAACAACATGAGCTTGGGTTTGGGTGGAACTAAGCTATCCTGTAATATACTGCAGAATCACTGCTAACAAATCATATAGTTTACAACCGGGAGACAAGTGACTCATAATAGAAGACATGAGCAGGGAGAAAATGCACACAGAGCTTATTATATAGGGCAAAAGGCTTTGAAACAATGCATTAAGATCCTCATAGATCTTTTGCTTAAAATACTGCTGTATCTATTTTAGCAAGGTCCTTGACATTCACTCTAACAAACACCCTCTACCACATTCTGTAAATTCAGACTATATTCTTTTTACCTTTTTGCTGCACACGTGTCATCTCATACGTTTCCTTCCCCTCACTGTTGCTGCTCTTTTTTAAAAACAAACATCTGGCTCCTTGTCAGTACTTACTTTCTTTTTTTTCCCTCCTCCACCTTTAGCTGTTGTACATTAGAAGCTACAGTTTGTCCCCAGGGCCTGAACACAATACCGGAGTTTGTTCATTAGCTTGCTTAGCCCTGGCTTTATGTGTCTGATCACACGCAAACAAAGCACAACACATAATGAGAGGGGGGAATACTACAGGACGAAGAAGCAGGATACAGAGGACCTGACGTATAATCAACTAGGAGGGAGGCGGGTAAGTGGAGGGAGGGTGAGGAGGGAAAATGGATGGTTTAGAAGGAAGGAGAAAGGTAGGAAGTAAGTGGGGTAGGAAAGGGTGAAATTAACAGTATGGAAATGGAAAGAAAGGAAGAAGGAAAAAGAAAGTGGTTTAATTGAGAGCAAAGGAAAAGCTACTGATACAAGAATGAGAAAAGATAAATGAAAAGTAAAAAAAACGGTAATTAAAAAGACTCAAGAAAAGAACTGTGGATGAATTTAAAGTTTAGAAATGTTAGAAGGTAAGGAAGAATATCTGCATCATTCTGCATCTTTTCAATCTATTTATCCACCAATCCATCTTCAGCCACATCATGTACCGAGCCCCCGACAATGTCCTACTTAATTAACTGCCTGGAGTCCCAGACAGCTCCAGAAAATTGATGGAGGGGGCCAGCAAAGGAGAGAGAGGAGGGAGAAGAAGAGAGAGAGGAAACAGAGATTGATTTGCACATGTAGCTTTTGAAGTCCTGACTCAGAAACGTACTGTACGCCTGTGTCAAAAGCAGTGGGTTTGCATCACCCCAGGTGCCATGAGATATAGAAAAAAAGGTTAGAGCATCCTGCTGCTTCTTAGTGAAAGCCAGTGAATAAAAAGCTAGCATAGCCTGTAGCATAATCTGCAGCTAAGCAATGTTTTATTCATCTGTCTATTGACTTTGTGTCAACTCCCTCGTCTGCTTGTCGTTTTATTCTCACAGTCCAATTTCCTTKGTGTATCCTTTTACTTTACACACATCCAAGCATTACAGAATATACCCCTTTAACAGATCAAATAAAAATTAGTTAAATACAAKGAATGTAAAATGAACTTTTAAAGCAGTTAGGAAAAGGATGCTACTGTCGTGGCAAAAAAAAAAGATTAGGAAGACAGGAAGACTCAGCTTTTTGTTTTTTAACAATTTATTACGAAGAAATGTCAAGCAGAACATCGRAAGTATGAGACAGACCCAAGTGATAGAATCTGTCTAACCTTAGATAGTCAGAGAAGGATCATTTGAGCAAACCTTATRAGTAAGAAATAACACCACTAGTCTTGTCATCACATGGAGGGTAACATGACCTAACATTGACCTATGAACAGATATACAATAAACAGGACAACACTCAARGAGGCCGTCTCGAAGAGCTGTTCCGTATCTTATCTGTGAATCCTARTTTTTTACAACTCTACCACTCTCCATAATATTCTAAATGTTTACACTTCATAGAAAATAGTTGGCAGTCTCTTTTACTMTAATGAAAGCCAGTAGAAAGTTAAACAATAAATAGTTTAATTTACACAAAATGTTTTGCAGGAATCAATAAATTCAACTTCAAAGGCACTTGTTTCTTCAAACATCTGTTCGAGACAGAGTGAAATGAAATGAAGATAGAACAGAGGACAAAAGTAGGAGACTAAGCAAGAGGAATAAATGAAAGTATTTTGCAGAAACAACTTCATTATTTGTGACACATGCCAAAAAGCTGACATTAGGTGCTACAAAGTACAGAATACACTGAAACAGTACACTACTGAGAGGTTTGGTTTGAAGCTGAATGAGATTTTTTCTTATAAATTTTGGTTCCTTCCTTCTCAGCTTTCTGTTTATCTGTGAAGACAGATGCTGTGGGTTTTCTTTGCCAGATGTGGCACAGCATCTGGCTGATCTCAGGATGACCAACATACAGGAAGTGTTTGTGTGTGTGTGTGTGTGTGTGTGTGTGTG